TTCTTCACTTCTGCACCCCGCCGCCAGTGTTCCCATTCAAAAAATCCTTGCTCCCAAACATCTGAGACGCGAATCAGCTTTGAACATTGAACAGCATTTCGGCGATCACTCAGGCGGGGAACTGCCCTCGTAGTGAAATGAACCCGGGCCATGATCCAATGGTACAAAAATTGTCCATGTAGAGCGGCGCAAGCCCGAGCTGCCACTGTCACTGCATGCCTAACTTGCTGTCGTTCTTCGGGAGTCAAGCATGGGAACCAGCGATGCCGTCTGGACGGCAAATGGTATCTGGCCAAAAGCCGATCGACGTGGCGAAAGCCATTGCTCTGTCTGACATATCCATGAACCAAGGAGATCAAATGAGCTAACCGCAAAATTGCACGGGCCGGGCCCCTACCCTTCAAGAGAAGGCGCAAATCCAGGTGCGCATGCTTTGAACAAGCCCACAAAGCTAAAAGCCCTCCTTGTCGGGTTGCGTAAATGGAAATCGGCCCTTGGAGGCCCCACTTTGCATATTGCTCTTTCTGTTTGCTGCGATATGCTGCTGAAAAAGTCTGCACTGTCCAACTGGGAGCAAGGTTTCCAAATGGGCGGCTCAACTTTTGCTGCGCTATCTTGCATTGCCGCTGCAAACAAACCGGCGACTCCCAAAAGGAAACCTCTTTCCGCCGCCGAAAACGTGGAGGAGGGCGTTTTCGACTACGATGACATTTCTTACGCCTCATTGGCAAGCACTGTCCTTGGTTGGCAAGGGGTCTTAGACAACGGATAGCAACTGCCTCACAGGCCCGAATCCAAGTATGCGGCCCACGTTTCAAGATCAAAAAACAAATCTCTGACGCTGGACGCTGTCGTAAAAGGATAGCTCGAGTTGTTCTGGCAGCCGCTGAACGTGTCCGTAAAACAGAAGTCAGGTGCTCCATGATCCTGCTCACCACGCCCAATTTTCCATGGCTTCGCGCAAGCACTGCCTTGCCCACATACCACCGGCCTTGATTGAACAAAGTGTAGACACAAGCCTCATCGTCGACCCCAGCTGTTTCCACGCAGTGTCGTAAGAAGGCTACTGCTTGGGCTACCGCCTCTGGATCTGAAGGCAAATGGAAAAACAACCGGCGCAAGGGGCCTGAAGCCAAATGACAAATTCGGACTGCCCAAGGTGCGGACCGATGAGCTGATAGCTGTAACAAACCCTGCATTGTCAACAAGGATGCTAACAGAAGTGTGAGGTCACCACCATGTCTGTGCGTCTTCATGTGTGAAGGGAAAACGACCTCTAGCAACCACGCCTGCAAGTCAGCTAATACACAAAGCCAGAAACGCAACTGGTCAGGAGAAGCAAGAGCAAGGACCACTGCGCACCACATTTCATCCAGTAATGATTCTGTGCTGCACGCAGGCAATTCTGCCCTTCCAGTAAGCTTGCTCCACCGCCAACCACATGATGTCAAGACTTCTTTCTCAAACCGCATGCTAAGGGAGGCTGTTGCACAATCAAATCAACAAGAATGACACGAATGTGAAGAATGGAGTGAATTTCTCAGAGCTAAAAGAAGCAGATTGGGATATGGAAAATGAAGAATGGAATATGAAGAATGGAATATGAAGAATAGAATATGAAGAAGCTAAAGCCAAGAGGAGAGTCTCGTCAAGGGCCGTGAATGTCGCTGAGCGCAAAGCGTCAAGTTCACCCGGTCTCCTTGCCGTGGAATCTAACACTGAAAGTCAAGCTTTTTCGCACCAGGATCCATGCATGTGCGGCCCCAAGGGCCTTGAGCGACGTCCTAAACCCTAGGCCGTAAGTGGCTGCTGAAACTTCGGCTCTCCGGCAAATACCCTGAAGCCAATGGAATCTCAAGAAATGTCGGTGATCATATTCTTAACGTAATCTGCTGTGAAAAGTTCCTGTGATCATGTGCTTCACATAATCTGCCATCGGCTGCTTCTGAGATCATGTTCATCACAAAACCGATCATCGAAAACCAAACTGAACGGCTACTGGTATCTGCCATCATTCGCCGGGAAAAGCTTCTAATTATGCCACATCCAAAATATGCGTGCGCAACATCTTCTTCAAAAAACCTGCAAACATCACCGTGGCTCCAGGAGCTACAACTGGGATCCCTGAAAGCGATTCCCAATACCAAGCCACATCATAATGGGAAATGTGAATGGTATACCACGCCTGGAAAACCTCCAAACTACGCGACCAATGAACTGGAAGGGGGATTGACGTCACAGGTTTCCACAAACAAAACATCATCCCACAGAAAAAACCAACAAACCAAACCCCAAGTAGGATTTTCCAGTTTCAGAATTGAAGGTTTCCCAAAATCGCAGCTACCATCTTAGCCTTGGCTGCCACCCTTGCTGGTGGCGCGTCTTTCCCATACCGGCTTATGAATTGGTCAAGCTTCTTGCCAAGCCCTCGCTTCGGCTGGACAATTAGGGCTTCAAGGGATTTAGCTGACAATGGTGACTGTCCCAAATCAACAGCGTGGCCCAATTCTGCCTCCAGCAATTTAAGCGAAACAACAGGGATCTTAACATCTGCAAGGCTACTTTCCTTAGGGGGGTCTTGGACTTGTGTTGTGTGCTTGCTGGGCAGCTTTGGGACGGCGCTACCTTGCGCAGTTGACGTGTCATGCCCAGTCTGGCCCGGCGGTGCCTTTGGCACGCCCGCAGCCACTGCAGCTTGCTTGAGCTGCTCCCGTTCTTCCAAACACATTGCAAGCGCTTCTGCCTGCAAACGACGCTCCTGCCAAGCTGCTGCTTCTTGCTTCTTACACATAGGTTCTTTTACACACAAACGCTTTTTACACACAGGTTCTTTTACACACAGACGCTTTTACACACAGACGCTTTTACACACAGACGCTTTTACACACAGACACGTTTACACACAAACGCTTTTACACACAGAAGCTTTTACACACAGAAGCTTTTACACACAGACGCTTTTACACACAGACACGTTTACACACAAACGCTTTTACACACAAACGCTTTTTACACATAGGCTCTTTTACACACAGACGCTTTTACACACAGACGCTTTTACACACAGAGCCTTTTACACACAGACGCTTTTACACACAGACGCTTTTGCACACAGAGACTTTTACACACAGAGACTTTTACACACAGACGCTTTTACACAGACGATTTTGCACACAAACACTTTTACACAAACACTTTTACACACAGACGCTTTTACACACAGACGCTTTTACACACAGAAGCTTTTACACACAGAAGCTTGTACACACAAACACTTTTACATACAAACACTTTTACACACAGAAGCTTTTACACACAGACGCTTTTACACACAGACGCTTTTACACACAGACGCTTTTACACACACACGCTTTTGCACACAGACGCTTTTGCACACAGAGTCTTTTACACACAGACGCTTTTACACACAGAAGCTTTTACACACAGACGCTTTTACACACAGACGCTTTTACACACAGACGCTTTTACACACAGACGCTTTGACACACAGACGCTTTTACACACAGACGCTTTTACACACAGTCTTTTACACACAGACGCTTTTACACACAGACGCTTTTACACACAGACGCTTTGACACACAGACGCTTTTTGACGATCGACCTTCATTTCGTGCGAAAGGGTTGCTCCAGGACAAGTAAACTCGCAATTTTTCCTCAGTTTTTGACGATCGACCCTCATTTCGTGCGAAAGGGTTGCTCCGGCACAAGTAAACTCGCAATTTTTCCTCAGTTTTTGACGATCGACCCTCATTTCGTGCGAAAGGGTTGCTCCGGCACAAGTAAACTCGCAATTTTACCTCAGTTTTTGACGATCGACCCTCATTTCGTGCGAAAGGGTTGCTCCGGCACAAGTAAACTCGCAATTTTTCCTCAGTTTTTGACGATCGACCCTCATTTCGTGCGAAAGGGTTGTTTTAGCACAAGTAAAATCGCAATTTTTCCTCAGTTTTTGACGATCGACCCTCATTTCGTGCGAAAGGGTTGCTCGGGGACAAGTAAAATCGCAATTTTTCCTCAGTTTTTGACGATCGACCCTCATTTCGTGCGAAAGGGTTGCTCCAGCACAAGTCAAATCGCAATTTTACCTCAGTTTTTGCCGATCGACCCTCATTTCGTGCGAAAGGGTTGCGTTCGTGACTCATTTCGTGCGAAAGGGTTGCCGCCGCCGGCACCACTCTCGGCCTAAAGAGAGAAAAAAGAAGGCGAGAGATAGAAAAAGGAGAGAGAAAGGAGAGAAGATGTGAAGGTGAGAAGATGTGAGAGAAGGTGTGAAGTGAGCAGATGTGAAGATGAGCAGATGTGAGAGAAGATGTGAGAGAAGATGTGAAGATGAGCAGATGTGAAGATGAGCAGATGTGAGAGAAGATGTGAAGATGAGCAGATGTGAGAGAAGATGTGAAGATGAGCAGATGTGAGAGAAGATGTGAAGATGAGCAGATGTGAAGATGAGCAGATGTGAAGATGAGCAGATGTGAAGATGAGCAGATGTGAGAGAAGATGTGAAGATGAGCAGATGTGAGAGCAGATGTGAGAGAAGATGTGAAGATGAGCAGATGTGAAAATGAGAAGGTGTGAGAGAAGGTGTGAAGATGAGAAGGTGTGAAGATTAGAAGATGAGATACAGACCCCCACTATTGGAAGAACCCTGCGCTCAGACGCTCTCGGGAAAAAATAGTAATAGAACAAACATTTACATCACCTTCAGCAAATTCATTCATACCTTTAGACATCCCCTACAAATGTGAGTTTCTTTTTCAGTGCCCCAAAATCATCCCCAAAGTTGATCCTTGATATTGAACATTAAAAACATTAAATAGACCATATATATATTGTATTATATTATATTATACTATATTACATTGCATTATATTATATTATATTATATTATATAAATATATAACATTATAAAACCATCCGCTTCTGGGGTACCCCGTATTTGAAAAAAAAAAAACGTCCACATGTCTCGTTCAACTCAGCCTCCAGGTGGAAGTGCCAAGTCCACTTCGGACATCATTTGCTCCTCCCGGTGTCAGGATGGATCAGTACACGGATCAACACGTGGAGATGGACACTTATGGAATATTCTGGATAGAACTATGTATACATTACACATATATATATATATATATTATACACATATAACTATAATGTATGTACAGTACATATAACTACATAAAACTACACAATTGTGTATAGGTGAAAATGGCAGAATCTTGGTGGCAATCCAATCTCGCAGAGATAGATTGGGTGAAAACAAATCGCCCCAACATGTCATCAATGCCAAAACCCCGTCAGAAACAGTAAGAAACAGCCAAAAATACTGAATCATCAGGAAAATACCATGGTTTTTCCCACGAATTCTGGAGGTTTCCTGTAGATTTGCCCTTCAAAGAGTTCCACAGCTCGTCAGCTCGTTGCACCTGAAAGGTCTTGCCATCTTCCGCATCGGTGTCCAGCCAGAGCATGGGGACCTGACGACGAATCTTTGAGAATCATTTGGTAATATAAACTAATCCCAATCCCAAGGTGTTTATGTTTATATATTGAAATCGGTAGTAATTGTTGAGAATATTTGGGTACCCCAAGGTAAAGTAGCATAGAAGACGTATAAGATATGCAGAAAAAAAAAAACGGTCTCACTCCAGGAAATGATCTACATTTCTGGTGAATGTTCCGTATCTAAAGTTGGTTTATTGGGGAGTATCATATCATATAATATCGCAAGGTCTGGCTTGAAGATAAAAATGCCTAGTCTCAGTCTTGCAGAATTTGTTGGTCAGTCTTTGCATTTTTTTCGAAGTTCCAATAAGTAAGGCAGCATCAACAGTCTGCACGGTTTGAAGATCCTTTCAACCATCAGCACATTTCTCTGGTAGTCAAGATATATTCATCTGTGCTTGCCTCGAATAGGGTACGAGTACCCCAAAGTTTTGATAGTTTAAAAGCATCATTTTCCCACTCTATGATGGCCTAACAGGGGGGCATACCACTTTTCAATCATATCCACAGATCATATTAAGTTGGTAAAAAAAAAAAAAACATTCTATCCCCACTATGGTTTGCTCTTTGACCCCCATAACTTTATTATTGCACATACCATGAATCATGAGTAAACAATCAAAACCTCCTAATTTTTGCTGGTTAAACCAGGTCCTCCCATCCCATCCCATGGCGCCAGTTGGGCCTGCGGCAGTTCAGCCCGTGCACTTCGTACCACCCCAAGCGCGGCGGCGGAACGATGCACGGCATCGCGGCCTTTTTTTCTGAGCAAATCGCAGTTTTTTTCACCGTGATTCATGGTGATTCATGATGATCAAATGGAGATTCATGTTGATTCATCAGGATTAATGATGATTCATGGTGATTCATTTCATGGTGATTCATTTCATGGTGATTCATGGTGAGAATCCCCGCTTTCCATTTATGCTGTAAACCAACAAAATTGGATGATTCATGGTCAAAAATGAGGTTGAACTACCATTTTATGGGAATAAAACCAGCTACAATCGGGATATACAACATTCTATATATATATATATAAGCAACAATAGTTGGGTCAGTCCAAAAATGGCGATTACCCAATCCCGAATTTTAAGAGCGCGGTTTTTGTCCATGCAGGAGTGCCTGAAAATGTTGGGAAAACTCCTAAATCCACTGTGATCATTCGCGTGCCATTTTCTACACCCACATATCATATTGTTGGCTATCCCCATTACATGTTTTGTTGTGTCCCATAACTTCGTAGAAGATCAAATCCGTTTTTGCACGATCAAATGATACTTAAGTCGATGGTTCAATTCAAGTTTTTCCGATGGTTACAGTATATAACAATAATGTCCTTTTGGTAAAAATACCAACCAACCAACCAACCAACCAACCAATGGGAAAAGGACATCTATGGTATATAAATCCCCCATAAGTCGGTTGCTTCCCCAAATTCTCCGATCCAAGATATTTTAGGGGCCAGCCGAGTGGCGATATGTGGAGCTACCGGGGCCAATGCTCAAGGAGCTCAAGAGGATTACCCTCAGAACACCTCAGGGATGACATCGGTGAGCCCGCAATTGGCGTTTGAATGGGATGATTTAACCATGGATTTAACTTATTTAATATTATTTAATCATCAATAATAGGGTTTTAACATGGTTTAACCATCTTCTAATGTGGGATTATTGATAAATGATGATAAATGTTGATGATGGGATGACTCAACTATTATTTTCATATGGTTTTTAACTATCAAACATATGGGGATATGGGTTTGACAAATGCTCCTTGATTTTCATGATTCTATGAGATCGTTCTACCTATGAAACAGTCCCATTCGACAGTCATGTATAGATAATTGTCCCATTCAAAACCACATATCATCTGAAAAAACAACGGGAAAAATATAAAACATGTCCATATCAAACCCGTATAGTGTCCATATCCAAACCAAATATCATCTGGAAAAAATAATAATAACATATAATCTCCATGTTGAAGCCATATAATGTCCATATACTCCATGGATTTTCCATGGCAGTCCCTCCTACCCCAATTTTTGGCATCCCACTGGCGCCCATCTCGGTGACCAAGGCCTGGCCGGCTGCATGATATTGCTATTGTTATAATATGTTATATTATTTGTAGAATAGAATATATAATAGTATATAGAATATATAAGTAATATTGACCATTTATTGGTAAGTCATTGGTAAATGTAAAGAGTAAGTCATTGGTAAATAAAATACAATATATGAATAATATAATACTAATACCATTAAATTGTGTATGTATGTATATTTGTGCCAATAAGATTTAGCATTATACATAATACTTAATGATATGGTATTAGCAATAGGAATATAATAAGTATATACACTAAATATAAAATGTAGACATAACTATATGGTATTAGACTGTTGTAATAGTAGTGTTAAGGTTTTGTTCACACACCAATACAAGAATACACGAAGTATAGGTATAGTTGTTATGACTAGTATGTAATCCTATAGGTAAGTATCTCAAATGTAGATGTAGATATGAATACTACATATATCAAACGTTGCTTCTTATTGGTAGCTCTTTTTGGGGTAGAGTATCATGACTATAATTATTGGACACTGGTCGTTCTACAAAGGATATAAATATATACCCAATCCAGTTCGCAGCTACAAGTAGGATGCACATCCAAGTAGGTATTTGGGCATGGGTCAATCCCAATGCAGCTTGTTGCTGATCTTCATCCCCCAATTCTGATCTTTCGATTGTCCAACTATTGATCAATGCCAATTAATGGTACTAAAAGATACTAAAAAAATCCAAAAGTCTAGTAAATCATAGTACCCTCTGGTAAACTAACATAGCTATCGAAAATGGCCATAGAAATAGTGAGTTTTCCCATCAAAAATGGTGATTTTTCATAGCTACGTTAGTCATTACCAGAGGGTAAATCCCATGGTAATTCCCAACATCCGACGGAAATGGCCATGGATCCTGGCCACTTTCAAGGGGAACCAAATCCGTGGGCAACAGCCTGGAGTCCCCAATAAAAAATCACAACAAAAAACTGGTTCCTAAAAAATCTTACCATCTGGTTATTTAACATAGCCATGGAAAATCACCATTTTTATATAATAGGTAAACCATCTATAAATGGGCCATTTTCCACGGCTATGTTAAATAACCAGATGGTAAAAAATATGTTCCCAAAAAAAAAATGGTTGCCATCCACCCGAAATATCTGTCCAAACCTGCACAGCTAACACCAGGTCCACACAGAGCTGCTCGAGTCTCGAAGAGTTCAACCAACCTGGCGCCACGCGCGTATCGGTAGACTAACATAGACGTGGGGAAGCCATTGTTTCCTTAGTAGAGGATGGGGCCCCAGTTCGTTAGCTAAGTTGGTGAACATAACTACGTATGTTATAACATGTTATAACAATCGTGTATGATACTTATAATCATATTTAGCTGGGGTTATAAACCAACTTATAACCATTCTGGAGGAGAAACATCTGCGAATGGAAAGCTCATGTGGAAACCGCCCAGGAAATTTATGACTGGATTTATGACGGATCTTCCAGATCTTCCCATCAAAACACACCAAAAAAACCACGGCAGATTTTGGCACCTTCCAAAGGTATGACCAGGACATCGTACCTGGCAGAAAAAAACCCAGCTGGTGATTTATGGTGCTTTCCAGAGCTCCATGGCTGAGTTCACCGGTGGGGGGATTTTCCAGCAAGCCATGGAGCTGATGGCCGGAGCAGGTGGCTTAAGCCTTCACTCCGGTGTGCCAATGTTCATCTGTCTTATCTGGAACAAGCAGTGCCAAAAAAAAACTGCAAATACAATAAAATATATCAAAACTGATCAAGGAAAAACACATACATATGCAACTGCAGCATCAAAATAATAAGAGGCACAAGTCAGTCTTGGCAAACATGGGGATGGTTTCAATACCACCATTTTCAGGGGGATGAAGAGCCATAAATCCCAACATATCCCAACGGTATCCCAACGGTCATCTCAGCATCTGACGCCCCCGTCTTTGCTTTGGCAGATCCCATGGTGCCCGGATGTTGTCCAGAAGACAGTCTGGCCAGTGGTATATCGGGATATCAATGGGGTAGAAACTACCCTGGTGAAACCCCAAATGGCTTCAGTAGATGGGTAGAGGTGTAAATGCTAGCCCAGGATTCATCATGATTCTAGTGAAAGTCTTGGCATCTGAGGAATGATAGTGATTCGATTCCGAAATAGCACTGCATTTTCGCCCACATACATTTCCATCCTGGCTGATATGAGTACAAACAATGACCCGCAAGACGTTCGTCCTCACCTTCGTTGCTGAGCTACAGAAAGTGTATGTTGCTATTTTGTTTGCAGTCCTCAACGTTGTCTCATCTCTGACGCTTGATTTTCTTATCCCATCTCCCGCAATCATCACGCCGGAAACCGGCGAGCTTGGGCCTAGACAAATACTTCTGCTGGACCACCAGCTGTTTGTTGAGGTACATAAGGCGATCCTTACCCAGCAACTGTCGGCACTTTCCAACTGGATGAATGGACCTCCAAACCATCCAGTGGTTTGGGAAGTAGCATGTTGTTTTTACCTACACGGAGATGGCGGAGATACCTGTCATTTGTTGCCTAATTCGTTCCGGATACTGGAAAATCAATGAAAACTATGTGTCCAAAAGGAGCCAGGGAGTCAAGAATATTTGTCGTTGCCATCTTCCAAAACTCTCAGCTCCCGCTCACGCCCTTGTCCCACCCGGCAACCACACCTCGCAACCCATCGAAACTAAGGCATTGATTACCTGCCAACATTTGGAAAATGGGATGCAAACCGGGTATAAAACCCTTGCTGAATGGCCATTTAGAAAACTTGGAACATGATGACATTCAGCATGTGAATTCAGGGGCTTCAGGTGTTGAGACAACCCCAATATAGTTTTTTTGGAATGTTATCGATGCCTATATCGATGACCTTCTAAAGATATAGACAAACCATGATGATCAAGGCAGGTATCATTATCTCCCATGAAGACCTTAATCTTATATCGTTGTTTCATCTCCCTACATACGATCAACAAAAAACACTGTTCTGGGATATCCTATAGGGGAATCATTTCATCATTCTTGTCATATCTTGTCATATCTTGTCATATCTTGTCATATCTTGTCATCATGCATTATTCTATCCCTACAAAACAATCTTCAACATCACCACCAGTTGAAAATCCACATGTGATCATCCCTTAACGGAAATCCAAACATCGAGCGCGGCCTCGAAGTTGGGTGTGGCACCCCCTGGAAGCTCCTGCTTTGAAGAGGTGGTCTTTCAAAATCTCCATTTAAAAAGGGAACAAATGGGATGTTTTGATGGTACTTCACCATAAAACACATCTGGGTAAATTATAATATTTCACTAACCTGAATTAAGGCCATTTGGGGATGATTTCCCTTACTAACCATGATTTCCAGTGAGGTCGTAGTGAGGTCGTTATAATTTACCCAGAACACATGGATAACTATGGAATTGCCCTGCACAGTTAAAGGAAAACTGAACATGAAACCATAGATAGTGACTGGACTGGAGTGTGGGAACCAACCCTACTTTGTTAATGGATCCGTTCTGGGATCTGTGGGAAAACCATGGTTTTTGCCATCAAATATGGGAATAGAATGGGGATATAACGGGGATAGAATTCGGATATAGTGGGGGTATAATGGGATATGATGGGATATGATGGGATATGATGGGGACTCAATGTGGATATAATCAAATACACTGTGCAACCAACAATATGATATTTAAAGTGTTCAAAATAGGGTATCTCCCAAGACATGTTTTAATAAAAATGATGATAAGCAATCGGACTGGATGGATACTTAGGGGTGTATACCAAAGTTTCACACAAACCCATGGTGACTTTGTTGGTGGGTTTTAAGCCTGCAACAGAAAATAGAAGGCCAAAATGACTTTTGGAGTGCTAAATTTGTACAAACTTTTTCTTCGATCCACTGTCCCCACGCCCCCGTCCAGCAAAGCCCAACGGAGGGACGCAGCACTGGAAGGCAGGGCGCTCGTGTCGGCTTTCTGCCTCAGCGTTGCCAGTCGTAGCAAATCGCTGGGAGATCAACGGCTTAACCATGCTGAAGCCGCATATAAAGTACGCTGAAACAGTAAGAAAAATGGTGATTTTCTGCAAAAGCATACGTATATTGGGCACGATTGGGTCAAAATTGGGCACCCCAAAGTTGGCTTGTTAAACACTAATTATGAATGACTACCATTTTCAAATGTTTTGTTTTTTTTTGGACGCATGAAACCCATCGGGAATCCTAATTTCGGGAAGATGAACACGCATTTGAAACATCATGCAAATCTTTCATCCGGTCTTGTTTCACCCTTTCCATAGGCATGGGTCAAAACCTTCACGTAGAAAATCAGTTTTGGCCCACGACCCATTTCCCCATGTTTGGCAATGAATTCCAAATATATATATATTTGGTAGCTAAATCTCGACTTGTTGTTTTTTTTTCTAAGTTTCCATTGACGATTAAACTCCAACGGTTGATGAAATCATGTGTTAAATGACTAATACTCACCAATAATCACAAGTAAGAAAGTGAAAGTAGTAGTCACTAACAACTTCATGACCAAATCTTATTATAATCACCAGGTTTTTCCAGGTTTTTCCAGCCCCAGTTTCCACCCATTTCTTCCCCCACTGGGCCACCCAGGCAGCTGCGATTCCTTCGCTACCAGTGAGTCACTCAACTGTTGGACGCGGCGCTGCTGTGGCGAGGGCTGCCGGTCCTTGGGGCCCAAGGGGGTCAAGGCCATGGGGAAATGGCAGGTAAAACCGTGATTTGATGGGATTTAACCAACAAAAATGGTGTTTGAATGGGATAACGATGGGATATTGATGGGATTTAACCAACCATTGTATGTGGATGTTGAATAAATAGAAAGTAATTTGGGGCTACCCTCCAAACCGTGGCTGGCTGGAAATCCCCAATCAAGGGAGGTTAGCTGGGAAAATCCTCCAGAAATTGGGGATTTTCCACTTCCGCGTTTGAGTACCGGAGGCTATTGATGGGTAATAGTGCTGGGTGCTGATGGATTTTCATGGGTTAAAAAGGGTTTCTTACTACGTGCAAAGCCCCGAGACTCCACGAATCCCTGCATGGTCTATGCCACCGATTGCTTGGGTCTGCGCAATTTTCGGACATGTGTTTGTTCATGAAGCCCCAACCATTGTGGTTAAGGAAATGCTGCATAACTCCACGTTGCACAAGTGGCGAACTGCTGCAGTTTCACAGGGACACTGGGCACATGCGTTCGTCCAAACGACTAGGCCATCGGCTGAGGCCGGCACGTAGAATTTCGGTGCCGGTGGGAAAATCGTTCCTGTGGTGGAGTCCTGGTATGAAAGCAATGTCACCACCTCGATGGATTCATGGTTTATCCTAGGTACCACCTATATGGCAAAACTGGAGGTGGATCCTATTGCTTTGCTGAGACTCATCGAAGAGGGGTCACCCCAGTCCTCCACATAGCCGGGCTTCACAGGTCTTACGCCTGCTCTTGGAGGTGTTCCATGCTGGAACCACTCGGACAAGTTCATAAAACGTCGGCTATTTCCACTAAAATCAAACACTAGATGCAATTAGGATGTAATTATCATATTAGGTTGGAACAATACGTACATACTACATGGGGTTGCTATACTTGTGATAAATGGGAATGGTTGATGATATTTCTGGCTGAGATACCACCGGACGATTCCATAGCTGACTGCATCTATCAGGGGCCCATCACGGCCCATCACGGATTGGGTCTGCTACCCCAATCAACATCTGACCACAATCTTGGGATGAATCAAAACATAATACATCAGAATACATCATAGTACCATATAATACCATATAATACCATTTGATACCATATAATGCCATATAATACCATATAATACCATATAATACCACATAATACATAATACCAGAATATACAATGTTGTTTTTTGGGAATGAGCATCTATGTACCAGCTATTTTGATGTTCACCACGCTACCAAGTTGACCCACAGACACCCACCCGCCTTGAGAATACACCGGCGGTAGCATTGGTTCTACTCTCCACAGCACCTCCGGGGCCATGGCCCCGGAGGTCCCCAGGGTCATCACAGCGTGTGAAAAAAGGTGGCTTGACCATCCAAGAATCCAAGATCCGGGTGATGAAATGGCTCCGAAAATGTGACCAGAAAATCCCACTGCTGCATCCTGTTCCCAAAGAGGCTGTTATTTTCTCCCCAATTTCTGGGAACCCCATGAAACTATTGAGAAATTTCTGGGCGTCGGATGCTGTTCCAAGGTACATCACACAGCACCGGTAGGGAGAAGCCCAGCAAAGGCCCGAGCGCCAAATCCTCCCAGATTTGATGCTCGGGGCTCGAAAAAGCCAGCTACCAAAGGACCCAAAACAGACCCAAGTCATTTTTGGTGTCTAACCATCCCAACCTCAAGGTATATCAATGTATCATCTTGAGCTATACCTGATGACACTGGGATAACTTGGTCCTCCCAGGTAGCGCCGGTGGACGCAATGCCTGGCTCGGTGTTTGGTCAGCCCCCAAGTATATATATAATTATATATATATATATCTATCTATCTATCACTGGGTGCTGGTATTTACTGGCTAAATCACGTTAAATCATGATTCAATCCACACTGACATGCATGTGAACTATAGACTTCCATTCAACATATTTCTATAACCCTGAGGATCCCTGTGGTCATCAGACCATGGCTGCACCTTCTGGTTTCGACCTGGCGTGTCCATCGTCCCGAAAAAAAAAGGAGGAACCAAAATGCCTGGCCTGGAGCCTGTGAGTTCATGATGAGAAATGAGTTCAACATTCTTTAACCACCAACCATTGAGTGCTGATGAGTTTGTTCAATGGGAAATTGGGACATGATCCACAACGAAGATGAACAACTGGATCTTTCCAATAGGGAGGGGGCTAACCAGAAGGGGCAAGCCATGCTCACAAAGTAGCCAATGAAATCATTGATCTCCTTGGTTCCTAACCATGTTGACCCCATGAAACACCGGTCACACTGTCACACATTGTATCAGCGCCTGCTCTTAATGGTACCAGTTGCTTGGCCTGACGTGGTGTCTGAATCCCCAAAGGTGAACAGGTCTGCAAAGGATGGCAAAGATTGGATTGATGGGAAATGGCCCATTTATTGATGGTTTACCTATTAAAAATGGTGATTTTCCATGGTTATGTTAAATAACCAGATGGTGGGGCAAAGCTACTGTTCTCTTGTGATTTTTGAAACCCTGACTTTGGGGATTTTCCAAAGTTGGTTTAAAGACAATTCTGAGGCAGAAGCAGCGCCCATGCCGAATGGATCTCAAGTCACACTGGGGGCGGGTCAAAATAGGATACCATTCATATCAAAATATCACGGAAAATATAGGGTGTATCCAAGGTTTGTTGGTTTATAACTGATACATCCCATATTTTTTTGGACCAGAACCAAATAAAGCATCCATTTTTTTTCATTACTCATATCCAGTAGAGCTCACTCCTTTGTTCTCCCGGCCTGAGAACTGAGCGGCTGGTAGACTTGGGTCCTGCTGGTTCGTCAATAATCCCTTCTCCTATTACTAAAACGCACCCAAATGAAACAAATAGGATTGGTGTGGCGCTTCCGTTTTTTATGGTTGGGCACAATTGGATTCTTAATGTGGTAATTGAGAATCAATAGGAGAATGGGATCGTGAAACAATGGGTTCAACCCCCTATTGATAAAAATAGATTGCCACCGTGCAACCTGCAGGCTTTCTATTAGGGGCCCATCTCACAAGTTTTATTATTTAGTTTTATTAATAAGGTTTTCAATGGAATATCAGGGGAAAGCTTCGAAATCCAGTTTTGGCAATACTTTATATAGATGTTACTAAGAGATCTATTCAAATTTGAAATCGAGTGTTTATAGTTTTATTATCAAGGTTTTCATTGGAATAGTAGGGGAAAGCTTAGGAATCAAGTTTTTAACAATATTCTATATAGATTGTACTAAGGGATTTAATCAAATTTGAAATCGCGTTGTTTATTTCATTATTGAGGTTTTCATTGGAATATTAGGGGAAAACTTTGAAATCCAGTTTGTGGCAATATGTTATTTGGATTTTAAAAAGGTGTTAATCAAATTTAAAAACCAATCATGGTTTTCTTTTTACTATTAGGGTTTTCATTGGAGTATTAGGGGCACCCTAATACAAAATACACCCTAATTTAAATAAAAATAGATCGCCGTGTTTACCATTTGGCGGGGGTGGCCGTTTTTTTGTAATAGGGAGAAAGGATTAGTTCATATTATTTCTGTTCTTATGTCTTATGGCAAAGAAATTCCTCAATTGGATGGTCCCATTCACATCATTTCTGGCTTACTGTAATGCCGCTTCAATCACAATGTGTTGTTATCAAATCCAGCTTTTTTGGCTGGATAATCCCAAATTTTTGGTGCTTCAATCATATTCAATCCATGTTTGTTCACCATGTTCCCACCTTTCTTCGGGAATACCCTTCCCCTGCGCTTAAGTCCTTGGGGCCTTGATCCTCACCTTCGTCCCAGTCCAGGGAGTAGACCAAGTCCTCCTAAGAACATCATCATCCATGAAAAACATATCCATGTCCATCTAAAAAATATAACACACCAACAAAAAAAATGTTGAATGGTGGGCTGAGTGAACTCCGTCATGACATTCCCTTGTTGATGGTTCAACAGGCTTAAACCATAAACCCAGGAGTGAAATGGCAAGCCTTCGCCTCGCTGGTCTCGGTCTTGGGACGTGGAGCTTCCTGCAAAAAATCGAAGACATGGAGAAACTATGGTACAGTTCTGTATGCAATTTGGGATAATGCTTATTAGATACGTAATATCAATCTATATCAAATAGCTGTAATATCAATCTATATCCAGATCTATAATATCTATATCCATGTGATATATCTTACAATATCTCAGATTCTTGTGACAACTTACCGAGGTCCTACATCATCTTCACTGGATCCAAAAGCCGATGTTCGGGCCACCTCTGCCTCCAAGGCTTGCTGTATCAGGGCTAAAGCCTGGCTCGGCCGCAGAAAAAAAAAGCGGCTCTGTCAGTATGTCTATAGCGATAGAACGTTACACAATAACATATTGATATATTAACATATATATATATACATATATATATATATGATATGATGATATATTATATTATATATAATTATCTATATCTCTATATATATATATATTGAATTGATATGAAACGATAATATCATTCTACATATTCCAGACTCGTCAACAGCGCCTTCACCAACAACTCTCGCTCAGCGGCGACCAGCAGCAATCCACGTACCTTGGCATAGCCATGGAAAATCTGTATTTTCAGGTTTCAGCGAGGGATGTTACTATTATCCCAAATGGACTGATAACCTAGTAGGGACAAAACAGCTACAACACCGTTAAGCTAGACAGCTCAGCAGCACCTTTTCAACTGAGCCGCAATGCTTGAGCCACTACATTACATGTGTGTTTTATGGTGAGGTGATTTTACACCCCCCTCAGGTGAGCCGGTTACCGCGAGGATGCCGCATTTACCAGGGCGAGGTCTTTAAGACCTGCCTCACCGAACCTGCTCTTTGCAGACCCAAGGGAAAACACACTTGGCGGCTATTATACAAAAACCGATCGTCAATGCAAGCAGTGTCACAATTTATCCCTCTTCCCATTCGACACGGCCATGCCTGATAACCTTTTGGTACCAGCGCCCATGCCACTTCTGCCACTCATTGGTGAACTGTCGATCATCTTGGGAATGACTTTGCTGAGGGCGAATGAGCCACTGACTTGCTGACGTTGATGATGAAGCGACCTCTACGCTTGTGGATGTTCGGGCAACCGGTTTGGCGGTGCCTTTCTTGGAGGGACCTTGGCCGTACGCACCAGTCTGCTCAGCTTTGCGCTTGGCCTCGTTTTGTTCGCGGGCCCTGTCAGACTGTTTCTTCTTCTCTGTTGCGTTCTGCTTGTACAGCTCTTCATTTTGTCCCTTAATCCACCTCAAATGACGTTCGGCATCATGAACAGCAATGTTGTCAACACCAGTGCAAGACAACAAAAGATTGTGTCCAGGATTCCTGCCGAGGTAGTCAATGTACTCTTCTTCGGAGTAGATCTCGGTTCGGTACATGTAGAACCATGGCTGGTCGATGTACCTGAAAGACTTTGGGACATCATAGCGACTGGCCAAATCCAAGTAAACCAGCCTCATTGCATTGTGCTCCAGCTGAGATTGCTCAGAAATACCCATCTTGACCTGAGCTTTGGTGCGACCAGGCTTTGGCAAATGAGCGGACTTGAGGAGGTCGTACCTTTCACAATCGTACTCGTTCTCCCCCTCGTTCAACACGCTCTCTGCGAATGTGGCGTCCTGGGCAAACCTGTCAGCCACAGACACATAGCCCAAACTCAAGGCACGGTCGAAGCGACTCTTGGCCCTTGCCAATAGGCCGGCTTCCGGACTTGAACTTCCTCTTGCCTGATCGTCCAACAAACCCAAATTTTCAAGTTGGCCATGTGTGATCTGCTGGAGATATTCTCCACGGAAATCGTAGTAGAGTCCCAGCTTGTGAAGGGCGGCCTTTCTTCGTTCAGCAATTTTGGTTCGATCGGCCTTGTTGATCCCTTCAAGTATCAAACCACACACATCGCACTCAATCTGTCCCTTGAAAGTCTGTGCAAAACATCTTGAGCACTGCGTGACTTCGATCTTGACCGGCACCGGCTTCTTGTCCTCCTTCTTCACCTCTTTCTTCGAAGGTTGGTCATCGCCTTTAGGGCGAGACTTCTGCTTTGGCACCAGTGACTTTGATGTTGCTGCTGGCGTCTTTTTGGGCGACTCTGCAACTGGAGCTTTTGGATCTTTCTGCACTGCCTTTGGTGGTGCAACTTTTGGGACTGGCTCCAAGAAGGCTGCAGCTGATGATGCTGCAGGCACAGCTGTTGGCACGCTTGTTAGGGCGGCCTTCTTCTTTGCAGGTTCGTCCTTTGCCGCTGCATCAACTTCTGAGGTCACAGCTTTTGGAACTTCTGGTGCATGAGGTGCAGAAGTCCCTTCCTTCGGTGGTGTTTTTGGAGGTGTCTTTGGTCCTTCAACCTTTGGCGGTGTTTTCGGTCCTTCAACCTTTGGCGGTGTCTTCGGTCCTTCAACCTTTGCTGCAGGAGGTTTTGGAGCATCACCCTTTGGAGGAGGGGGCAACAGTCTGCTGCTTGCATATCCAGGCATACCGGCAAGTTGGGCCACATTCGGTGGCGGAGGCTTCACCTTCCCTGGGAAAAATGTCTTTGCAGCGGGCGCGCCAGTCGAGGCGGCCGGAGATGTTGAACCTGTCCTTTTTGGTGCCTTGGCCTCGAAGGTCTCGACAAGCTGTTGGACTCCAACTTCTCCCCCGCTGCTTGCTGCAGACTGCGCAACCTCCTGTTGGCGACGATAAAGATTCACCTTCTTTGCCGTGTCGTCCACAGAGATGATGTATTGTGGCGGGACGACATCGCTTGTGAGAATGCCGTCAGAAGCCGTCCTGAAAAACACAATTCCAGCCTTGACAGCTTCTGCCATCGCAACCCTGATTTCAATGGGTCGCTCAGCACGCAAACCGCTCACATACTCTTTCTCATCAACACGAACGTCGCTAAAATAGGAGTGAGCTCTTCCTGACGAGTTTCGTTCTCCTCCTCCAGCCACGAAGCCGTTCTCAATGATGCCCTTCCAATTGCCTTTTGTAGTCCTGTGATAAACTACGCCAGGGCAATTCTGAGGAGTGGTAATCTTTTTACCTTTGGCGTTCATCTTCTGGATCGCTGCTGCACCAGACAGAGCGTAGATTTCCACTGCATTGAACGTGTCCTCAGCTGAAGCGGCATCCATGGCACGTTTTGTATGCCCCTGCACTGCACGGATCCTGATAGGCCAGTAGGCTAACCCTTTACGGGTTGCCTTCTGGTACCCGGCAATGCACTGAAACTCAAAACGGCACTTGCTGTCCCAGTAGAGCAATGAGATGAGCTCCTCAACAGTCATCCTGGGCAACTTGGCTGGCAGCATCTGGTTGAACATGCGAAAGAAATCATCAAGGTCAAGCCACATGTTTTCATCAAATCCAGAGGTGTCCTGACCAGGCTGACCGCGCGTCACTGCATTCACCTTAGTTTTGTGCCTGTCCATGCGGTCAGGAAACTTCAACGACTCTGCCCCATCCATTTCCCAGCAGGTCTTGACAATCAATTCGTAAGGATGGGAATCGACGACACAGTGTTCCACAACTTCTGCGTTGATGTTTTCTTCATAAGTGATACGGTACTTGTCAAGGTGTCCCAATGTGTGCTTTGGCACAATGGTACCCTTGACCTCGTTTTCTCGCAGGGGCTCACCAGCTAAGGTGGCCTGAGTGGAATCCTCCTCCTGTGTCGCTGGAGCTTTCGCCTTGGGGTCAGGTGGAGCTGCGTGGCTTGCCTTGGCTTTGCCAACAGATGGGCCCTCGTGCTCATCGGGATCCAGAGCATCCCATGGGTCGCCTTCCTCATCATCATCTTCGGCGACACCAGCATCAGTCGGACGAGCCCTCAACTCCTCTGCAGTCAAGCTTTCTGGGGTCGAGACGCTCGGTGCAGGCTTGTTCACCTTCTCCCTGAGAGAGTTGAGGACCTGCACAAACCTGACTGGAAGGTGCTCCATCTTTGGCGGCACATCACGCATCGTGGCTTCACCTGCAGGGCGCCTGCGCTTGTACAAAGACAGGTTGTACTGAGGGATCAAAATGTCCGTCATGTGCAGCATGTGGAGAGTTGCCATGACATATCCGATCATCTCGCTTCGGTTGAGTTCGGTCTCGAATGCGTGAAAGTAGTCCCTGAGCTCAAGCCTCGGTGGAAGCATGTCATTCTTGATCCACCGAATCCGATCGTTGTCACTGACAATCTCCTTGTGGAACCATTCCTTCAGACGTTCAATAAATGTCGTGAAGATGAGACTCAACCCATAAGTGAGCGGGTCGGGCTCGCCGATTAGGGCGGCCTGATCCACTCCCAATTCCTTGAGCTGATTGTTCCACCAAACAATGTTGCCTTTGACCCTGTCCATGATGGCATTCCAGTCACCCTGTGGTTCCCTCTGCCCCCAAATGGGAAGGGGTTCAACACCATATTCCCCGCAAATTTCATTCCCAGACCAAAAGATTACCGAAATAACCCTGATGGCTGATCCATGAGAAGAATATTTCGCCATCAGCTCCTTGATCATGGAAATATTTGCTTTGCAGAGCTGTTGCAAATCCTTACCCCAGAGCATGTCATGACCGATTTCGAGAACCATGTCTGATTTTCGCAACCCCAGATCCTCCTTCAAGGTGTACTTCTTCAAAGTCTTACCCTTTCCAGTGATCAGAGCCAAGGTTGAATCGGAAGTCACCACATAAATGGTGGGCACGACGTCTACCGCCGGCCTTGATGTCCCAGGGACGTACTCAGTAGGCAAGCTCAGATCCCACAGCGAGTCATGTTCGAGCTCGGACAGATGGCGGATCTCCTTTGCCCACGGCACGTTTGTCAGGGCGTCAGTTGACATGGACTGCGCGGTGAAACATTGCATGAATCCTGCAGCCAACTCAAGGTCCTCTGTTCTATTGCCCTGCGCCAGGATGGTTGATGAAGCGAGGACCGTAGAAAAGATGTCCTCCCACTCTGCGTGCCTATCCCCCTGAACATCAAGGCACTTCCGAAAAGCAAGCCACTCCGACATGTTGCTTTGTTGGGGCACGGTCTTTAAACCGGCCGACTTGAGAGCCCGCACGTTCATCTTTTCAGCAATCGACAAATTTGAATCATCAGAACGTCGGCTCATGGCGGGCAAAGCTAACCTTTTCCTGTTCTTGGCGGTTTGTGCCTGGTTAGCTCTGGAACGAAAACAATCATGGATGAAGTCAGTCAACTTGAATGTGTAGTTCTCTGCAAGCTTCAGTGCAGTACCCCGGCTTTGACCATGAGTGTGGGAACCATCACAAACGTATTCCGATAGACTTGACAACTCTTCCATGTTAGTTGCAATCATCCAACCCTTTTTCATGGGATTCCCGTCCAAGTCAATAACCCCAAACTGGCAACCGTGGAATGGATACAATTTCAACTCTTGTCTCTTCAAAAACGATTGGACCATTGGCCATTTCCAATACTTGCAGTTCTTTGAGAGTTCGAATGCAATTGAAAAATGTGGCCCATCGATTTCACTGATAACCTTTTGAAGTGATTTGAAAAGTTTTGTAAATTCCTTTTGTTGCTGTTCGATTCGTTCAGCCCCTTTGTCAG